TTCTGCCAAGAAATTACTTCGCAATTTTATATCCATTAAGCATTCGCTGGTACGCTGTTTAATAGAATTTGAATGACTGGCAGGGACAGATTTTTTTATTATGACAGTGTTTAAGTGACGGTCAGAGGGAGTTTTTTCTTTCTTGGGTGACAGTACTTTCTTCTGCAATTTATTTTGGCGGTGATTTTTTCGTGGTGAAAAGCGAATGAAAATTACTTTCCGTTATCAAACTTTCTGCTGCCATCAAACCTTGGGCTTCCTTGCGTTACAGACCTACGGAGATGTCCACTCGACTCTGCGCTCTTGCCCCGTTCTACGTGTACTTATTGATATTCGTCTACTTTCAATTTTCACTGCGAGGTCAAATAACTGTTCTAGCATACTCGCGTTTCAGAATTCAACAAATTCTTGAATTTGAGGAAACAATCTCAGCAGGATTATTAGGATAACATCCGCATCGGGGTTTGTTCCCATGGAATAAGTTTACCACTTGTATTTTTCTCAGTGTAAACTCGGTGAGTTTTTCTATTCTTGTCTGGTTTCTACCAAACTTCGCTTCTAAACTGGTATGAAAAACTTAAGCAACAATGTAAAAATTTAGCAGATAGCCATGAAATTGCAGAAAAAGAGGTCTGGAGATCAGTACAATGAACACGTAAGTAAGTAGAAACGTCATGCGTATGCAAATATCAGCAACGAAACGTCAGAGGCGACGTGAGCGTACACAAAACGCGTGATGTCGGCGCGCGCAGCTCAACAGTAGAATAAAAGGAAGGACGGAGACGCAATTCAACATATTCGCTGCAAGTGCCAGTGAGTCAGTTCGTGAAATCTGCCTAGAAGAAATCACCTGGACGACTTCACACGTGGAAGAATGATCGGAAAGCTGGAGGAGGGGCGTACTGTCACCAGTGTAGCTGCAGATTTCGGAACAACAAAAGTGTCGTTTCGCGCGCTTGTAAAGCGTTCCAGACCCCAGGTACAGCAGTTAGAAAGGTTGGTGGTGGCCGCCCGAGGACTACAACTGCAGGGGATGACCGATATATCGTCCTGCAGGCCAAAAGAGGCCGACAGCACTCAGCAAGCGCCATTGCTCAGCAACTCTGTACAGCAACGGGGTGACAAGTGTCGCGGTTTACTGTGGCCAGACGCCTTCACAAAGGGGGCCTATTCGCTCGCTGTCCTGAACGCTGCCTCCCGTTGAAAGTTGGCCACCGACGCCACCGTTTACAGTGGTGCACAGAGCACAAAAACTGGACAATTGATCAATGGAGCCGTGTTATCTTTACAGATGAGAGTCGGTTCAGTACCAGAAGCGATTCTCAACGCGTTTTGATTTGGCGAGAGGTCGGGACTAGGTTCTATCCCAGTAACATCAAGGAAAGACACCGTAACGGTGGTCCTGGAGTTCTTGTCTGGGGAGGCATTATGCTGAACTGGCGAACTGAGCTCCACGTTTTCGACAGAGGGTCTGTAACCGGGGATCGCTATTGTGAGGAGGTACTTCTTTCCCATGTGCGTCTGTTCCGATGTGCCATTGGCCCAGACTTAAATTTTATGGATGACAATGCACGGCCACATCGGACTCTTGCTGTTGAGAAGTTACTGGAAAGTGAAGATATCACTCGTACACAGATATCACAGCGTACTCCTTACATTTAAATACCATCGAACATGTGTGGGATGCTTTGGGGAGACGCATTGCAGCACGCTTACATCCTCCGGAGAACACCCAACAACTCAAACAGATGCTGATTGAGGAATGGGCACTCCTACCCCAAGAAATGTTGCACCAGCTGGTTCTGAGTATGCGGAGACGGTGCGAAGCAACCATTGCAGTGAGGGGAGGGCATATCCCATAGTAAGGAACATCTGCTTGTTGTTCTTCCTTTTGGATAAACAATCATGAGTCACGATACTTATGCGTTCAATAAAGCTTGTTTTTGTTTGATTCCATACCGTATGCATTGTATTCCTTTTTCAGCTCCGATGGTTTCGTCATCCTTTACGTACAAAATACTCTGCTTCATTTCTGCATTTATGTCTCTCAGTTGATTTCTCGTGGAGTTATGAGTGAGTGAGTGAGTGAGCGCCACCAAGGAAGACCACTGACCTGGCCTTAGCCTCACAGTGTGTTATCTTCCTGGCAGAAACCATCTACTCTCTGCTCCATCCTGCTCCGGGAACGCAGCCGAATAGACGGCTAAGAGCCTCATAAAGTCTACATATAAGCTTGGATGTTGTTGTACGGGGAAAGAGTTTCCTGTTAGGAACTGCTTAAAATTAAGCAAAGAAGCAATCAAAAGACTGTTAAGAATCGCTGTTAGAATAGACAGAAACTTGTGTTAGATAAAGTAAAGATAGGAGGACTCTGCCTGAAAAATTAACTGCCGTGGATTTTCTGGACTTGCTAAATGTCTACATGCGGGTGCTTATCCCGACACAACTGTCATATCTTTATGGGGCTTCTGTGAAATCGTTGGTCCTGCATGGAGGAAAGTTGTAACCTATTAAATTATTGCACATAGTAAACTTAAAATAATAATAATAATAATAATAATAAATAAATAAATAAATAAATAAAATAAAGAGAGAGATTAAAAGATGATTAAAAAAATCCTAGCGCCCAAACATAATTTAACGCAGTTTACTTTCCATGTGCCTGACTCTTATGTAAGAGCATTTAAAAGAATGGGTACCTTTTATCACTAAGATAACAAATTCCTGCATAATTTAGTTCTTTGCGCATACTTAAACTGTAGTTGTTTTACAAATTGAACCATTCACCTACATTTTCTTTCGTAGTACTTGCAGACAGGATAATACATACATAAGTACAAAACTGAATATTAAAGTGAAAAACTAACATGATACTGAGTACAGAAATACAGAAAGCTGATCCCTAATGCCTGCATACATAACACTTAAAAATGCATACATAATACATGAAAACTAAAAATAAAACTGATAAGCATAATACATAAAACTGATCATTAAGTACTGCTATGTAGTCTAAATCCTAGCCAAGTACGAACTGACCTTCATAGTACATGCAGAGAAGGAATAAATACAGACTTGAGTACTTTAAAGTGAACATAAACAGAAAAGTACAGCACCATACTCAGTAAAACTGATATCTGATTCCAAACACTTGAATACATAATGCTGATACATAATTACAAAGAGAAACTTACCTACATTAATTACATAGTTAGTTTTATCACCTTAGAACGTGCACATAATTTATACAAAACATAATTAAGCACGTAATGCTGATCACTAGGAAAGAGATTCAAACACGCAATTGATCACATAAATACAGATATTTCTTTCCTAAAATTTGCATAAAAAGTTGAATATTTATTAAAATTAAGAAGGCAAAAATGCCATACAAATAATAATATCATTCATAAACTTGAGGTGATAACATAAGTTGACCTTGCCCTTCTTGAACTTATTTATCACAAACTTGTAATTTAAATACACGATTAGTAAGTGTAAAAAAAACTCATTGCTGTTGAAGATTTTACTGGAACGATCTGGTCTTGCGAGTCCTAGACCTGTACATTAATTGCAAAAGTAAACATTATAAAGAATATAGGCAGGTTGTTGCCATAGTCCTAATTATCTAAGTTAGTCTTGGGTTGAGAGGTTCGAGGTGTGTGCCCAGATTGATTTAGTGTGATTTATACATTTTATGATTCAGAGCGCTAAGCACTTGATTACTTCTATTTGGGGACACTTATCGTCGTATTAGAGAATACTTTCTCTGACAATGGCTGATTACCGCTTGTAGCTTTTTATTTGCTGTTTTGTTTGTTCTCATATTTGCCGCCCATTGTGGCCAGTAAGCTTGACTTGGCTTTCTTATATGGTACTGTGCCGTGTTTGTGCAGTGGAAGACGTAGTGGTCTGGATCCCCCACCTCTCCACATTGACATCTTTCTGTGTCACTTAGGCTGAATCTATGCAGATAGGTCAAAAAACCCTGCTGTTTCTTAAGTTTGGCACACCTGTGTAATTTCGCCCTATCTCTCACCATGGGAAATGCTTTTACGAGGGCGGCTTTAAACACTTCCAATCTCGCTGTACCTCTCGTTGCCTGATTTCCTAAGGACTTGCATCAGCTCAGTGCCTGTTCTCGCAGTGCGGTGCTTGCTATGGCGACCTTTCTCATTTCTGCAATTGCGTGATTCAAATGGTGTCCGAAGAAGACATAGCAGCAAAAACATCGCGGACGAAAATAACGTAACGCAAAAATATCGTCGAAGAAAACATCATGCGATGAAAGACATTTTATACCATATTAAAATAAAAATTTTCAGTTTCAGAATAATGTTATTTGGAAAGCATTACGGAAATAAAAAATTAACAAAAATGTTAAATCCTAACATGTGTTAATAAGGAGTAAATGGATTGCATTAGGTTGTTTGAATATGGCGAAGGACACAAGAGCTATCTACCTATGGGCAAGGATACCTTCTTGGAGGACTTTCTATAGGAAAGTGGTTCGTTTTCATATTACACATGGGAAAAACTACGAAAACCAACTATATAGCCAGCTCGTTCGCCTGGGTTCGAAGCCGGGTCGAACTACCAGTATTTATTCATTGGTCTTATGTACTTGGTCACTGGTGAAGACCAGGAGTAAACTCCCTCTACGTGCTACAACATGGATTACCTCCCATGAAGACTCGGACAAACTGGATTTCAGTACCAGAATGAAATTAATAATAACATCACTCCTAACGCAAATCTTAACTCAAAAGAAGAGATAGACACTGCTATCCAAAGCTTAAATATTAAAAATCCGTAGTGCCCTTAAAAAACGCACAGTTTTTTAAAAATGAAGACATGACCTTCCCGTACAACATCAGATTAAAAATTAGAGAAAAACAGACTTCCGAAGATTGTTCAGAGAACTCAAAATCCGCAGGATAGAAGAAATTTTAATAAATGCAATAAAGAGCTTAGGCTCATGATGATTAATTATCGTTCAGAGGCATGGGATAATTTCGTGGACAGCCTGACCCACACAGATTCTACTGTTTGGAGAATTAGTAAAGCGCTCAGAAAGGAAGAGAACAACATTGGCCCAATTAAACATAACAACCAGGCTTTTCATAAAGCTGAGGATATTGCAAACATCTTCGCTAGTGATTACGGAGATAATTCGCGTTAAATCATTTTCCCAATCCAAATGATGTTAACATCGAAATACATGTAAAAGATTAAATTGCTACTAATACTAATTCAGAAGTCAAACAACAAAAATCAGCGTTATACCTACAAAATTTTCACAGGACTAGTTTCGATGGTTTTACCGAACCATCATCTTCAGCTGCAAATTTCCTATCTTGTTCATTTGCGGTTTTGCAGCTGAAGATGATGGTTCGGTAAAACCATCGAAACTAGTCCTGTGAAAATTTTGTAGGTATAACGCTGATTTTTGTTGTTTGACTTCTGAATTAGTATTTATTCGGCGTGTTATTGTGTCTTAATTGCTACTAATAGTCGCAGCGTAGGAAATCTCATCACCTCCAGACAAGTAAAAGATTGTTTTGATGTTTTGAACCCAAAGAAAGTGGCCGGTTATGACGGGATTGTTAACAAAGCCATCAAGAACCTGAACAGGAAAGGGGTAGTTCTCATTACAAAAATTTTTAACGCTTGCTTAAATTTAAACTACTTCCCTCGTATCTGGAAACACGCTACAATTATAGTCATAAGAAAACCAGGAAAAGACGGGTCAACTACCAGCGATTATAGACCAATCAGCTTGCTCCCTGCCCTTACTAAATTATTTGAACGTATTATTGTAAATCGAGTTAAAACCTTCATTGAACGTCACAGCTTGCTAAAGAGTTACCAGTTTGGCTTCAGACCGGGTCACTACAGTTCACCAAATCACAAGAATTACAGAAATTATTGGACAGCATGTAAATAAGAAAGAGACTATTGCTGCCCTGTTTTTGGATATCGAGACGGCTTTTGACAAGGTTTGGCATGCTGACCTCCTTGTAAAAATGATAAATTATCAATTTCCACCTGACCTTATTACCACAATACCCAGCTACCTGGACAGGTGACAGGTGACGGAGGACGGAGACGCCTGGTGTTCAACGGAGGTAAACAGGCATATGTCCCACGCCCTTCCCTATCTAGATGCAATAACCCGGTGCCCCATAAGGGCGCACCGGGAATTACTGAGCCTTCATGAAAATGTTTACATGGCCATACAGGGGCTATTCCAGTTTGACATTGGTTCAGTACAGATTCTTATGTTAATGGTTGACCTGGGTGTTCATAAGCCATAATGCATACATGAAACATGATATATCACATGACATTAAACTTATACATAATACTTGCATGAATTAGTACATACATACTTTATACTTCACATGATATTAATCTACACTTATTAGAGTAATAACCTGACGGTATACTACGTTAAGCTAATTGTATTGCGAACTTGCTAAGTTACTTTTTAACTGGATCACTTATAGCAGTGGTTTCCAACCTTTTTGTACCGGCGCCCCCCTTTTAAAAAAAATTGGTGCGCCCCCCTTTAAAAAACAAATTGTTGCGTCCCGTTAAATTATCTTAAAATCAAATTTCATAAATACTCAACTGATATTATAATTTATTTAATGGGCTACAAAATAATATACAATATTATGTAAAAATATAATATATTTATTATAAGAAATATAATAACAAAACAAAAAAAGAATATATAATTAATACTACTACAACATAAAAATTTAATGCGACGGTTGAGCTTGTTTTTCAGCACAAATTTTCTCAAACCGTGGTATCATTGAAGAAATCGCGGTTCTCAGTTCCTTTTCAATCATTAAGCGAGGTCGATACTTTGTTTTTAAGACAGCTACTGTAGAAAAACCAGTTTCACATAGGTAAGATGTTACAAATGGCAATAAAATTTCTAAAGCTTTGTTTGTCAAAGTAGGAAAATCGTCCTTTACTCGTAGCCAAAACGTAACAATATTATTTTCCTCTCGAAACATCTGCTTTAATGTGCTATCACTAGATACGTTTTAATTTATTTGGTTTCATGCTGTCTGAAGCCAAAGTATTCATACACAGCAAACACAATGGTCGTTCTTGGTCATTAATAACCTTATATGTAAATAAGTACATTGGATCATATTTTCTATATTTAGATTTACTATTTTGCGAAGATGTATTTCCGATATTTTCATCATCTTTTCTTTTGCCCTCTGCTTCTGCTTCATTTAATTTTCTTTTCAAGCCAGTTACGTATTTATCCATCTAAAAGGGACTTTATATTAATTTAAAATACAATACAATTATATCAATATTTTCTTTTAAATTAAATATCAGTCTTAATTGGGATAATTTTTAAATGTAGAATTAAAAACATTTTTTGTCAAAATTAATTACTGGAATATAAACAACATAAAAATAACTTGCGCTCTTCTTACATAAACGTGAATTTTTTCAATAACAATATTCATATTACTCAATTAAAACGGTTACTGGTAAATTTACGAGAAAGTAAAAAAGCGCTAGTAGTGAAAAAATAGTATATTAACATCGGCCAGGATGTTATTTTATTGTTTCCGGATGTTTATAACCCTGGCACTTCGCGCTCGTGCCGAAAAACTACCTCAACATTAAATTAACATTTCCTGGTTAATAAGGTACTATTATAACAGTTATGAAATTTACCTCAATGTTAATTTATTTAGAAGTTACCAAAGCGAAGTGTTTCATTCTATATATCAACGTGGTTATCGCAAGCACTACTAACGAACTAATTCTGTTCATAGAAAACAGAAACAATTAGATGCTTCTGTTTACTGAAGTTTGGCGCGAGTAAGCACGAGAATACCCGGGATATTGCGAGTGCTTATCTTTTGATTCCACGCCCCACCGGTGCTCGGCTCCAAACGTGAAAGCGAGATATTTCGTTCCAAGAAGAGTATGGATGGTGTAACAACAAAGCTCAAATGAATAAAGCTAAAAATATCTCTTACCATTTCGAATCCGGGTGGCGAGTATTCCATCGACATGAAGATCGTCAAAAAAATTTAAGGCACATCCTTCTATAGAGATTACAATAAAATTATTATTATTATTATATACATATATACAGTCATAATTGATTTGCACTTAACATCTATGATAATTAAACGCGCTTTCAGATACAAAGCGGTTCCAATTCTCCTACTGCGTAGCAGTTCGACTGTCTCCTCCTACGCAAATCGAGTTCAAAGTTTTTTACTTAGGAATTAATTCTAAGTTTGCTAGATGGCGCTGGGAGTTCGGAGTCCAGTTGTAAGAGATGGATTTTTAGCATTTGTACCCGAAAAACGCGCGAGGATTGGGTTACGTATATGGATCATTTTGACACCTATTCGCTTTTTTGTTGTATTCGAAATGATTTTTGGAAAAGCTGCAGCCCCTTGAACATTCTGCTCCTTGGGGGGGCCCCCGTTGGTACCATGATTATAGTTTACATTATTGCTATTACTTCTTAAATGACATTATGCTATATAACAAGGCACACATACTTTGCCTTATAATCATATATGCGTTACTTAAAATAATACACATGGGCACGCGTTACACGCGCTAATGACTACATTACCGGTTACGTTATGTTAAAAGTACACATAGTACGACGTATTACACTCATTGATTAAATTACTTACATTACACTATTACTTACATTACTTACATTACACATTTACTTATACACTTACATATTTACAATTTTAGACATAACACCTGCTAAGTTACAATAGAGACATAGAATTATTGCGCTGTGTATGCTATTATTCCTATGTTGGTTGGCAGACATCCTGCCCTAGGGCGCTCAGCTGCTGTATAATTTTACATATATTTCTTATCGCAGGTGCGTGTTTGATGATGAACCTCTTGTAAGGTACTATATCCGTAGTGGGATATGGTAGGTGATGGCTCGTCGTGAGGCTACAGTTGAACACGTAGTGGTCGGGGGAGCCAATTTCCCCGCACACACACGCTTCTGTCATGGAGATAGCACGCTTATAAAAGAAGGTGGGAAAAGGGCCATGCCCCGTGATATAGTTTACCAAAGGGGGTATGGCCTGTAAGCGTTCTTTATCTACTACAGGGTAGAATTCGAAAGTCCTTCTGCCGGTATCTCCATTCTCCCATTCGTGTTGCCATTGTTTATTCCCTATGTCTCTTAGTTGTCTTTTTAAAAATGACGCCGGGATTAGTGCTGAGACAGCCTGTGCATTATTGTTGGTTGCTGCCTCATTGGCCAGTTGATCTGCCATCTCATTGCCTGCGATCCCAGAGTGGCCTCTTACCCATTTTAGCTTGATGTTAGATTGCTGGTTGCTATGCAATGTCTGTTGGATTTGCAGGATTATGGGAGATGTGTGATGCAGCACTGACATGCTGTCTGTGCAGATTTCTGTTCGTGCAAGTTGTATGTCATGTGCGTACTGTATTGCCGCTTCAATTGTTAAGGCCTCCGCCTGGAAGATACTATTGTGAGCTGCAAGATGGCTCTTCCATTGACTGTGAAGTGTACCATGCTCATAATAAGCATAAGCACAGCTCACTCCGTTATCATGTTTGGAGCCATCTGTGTAGAATTGCGAGGCGACTGGTACATCCTCTATTCGCGGCGTAGATCTCCTTGCTATTTTGACGTGTATGCCCGAGTTTTTATGTGCTGGGTTCACGTGCTGTGTGCTGCCTGGTGTTTCGTACTGCAGCGTGCTGAAGACTGTGGTGCCGAGTGCAGCATTCTCCTTTAATCTTATTACCCGCTCATATATTGCTTCTAACTTGGCCCTGATGTGAAGGGGTGTGAGCCCGGTAAGCACAAGTGCTGCATTTGTCGCGGTTGTTCTATATGCCTTGCTGATGTTGAGAGCAAAAGGTCTTTGTATTGTTGACAGGGCTTTTATTTTACGGCTGCCCATTGGTAGTGCCCAAATAGCTGAGGCATAGAGTACAATCCTTTCTGCAATCGTCAAGTAGAGCAGTTTTTGAATGTAAGGGTTCTGCCCCCAGTTTTGTCCCCGGAACTGCCTGGCTTTCTTTGCAATGTTGGCTGTTCTGACTTTGACTTTTTGTAAATGTGGTAGCCAGGTCAAGCCTTGGTCCCACGTGACTCCAAGGTATTTCAACGTTTTGGTGATTTTTAAATTTCTGTCCATTAGCTTAACACAAGGTCGTCTCGTGGGGTTTGTACCTGGACGCGGTATGACCATGGCCGTAGATTTTTGGGCTGAGATAACGAGTTTCAGCTTTTGACACGCGTCATAGAATTTGGAGCAAGTGGCGGAGCCGTTCCTCTCCAGTTCGTCTCGCGTATGGCCAGTAACTAGCAGTGCCGCATCATCGGCATACGCCACTACCTTGGTGTGGTTAGGCCAGGTATTGAACGTAATTATCCAGAACAGGGTCCCCGCGCAAGAGCCTTGCGGACAGCCCCTCTCCTGTTTCTTTGTATAGACACCACTATTGTTTGCGATTATGAGACTTCTAGAATCCAGATAATCGTTGAAGATGTTATATAAATTCCTAGGGTGGCCTGCTTGATTGCAGGCCACCAGAGAGAGTCAAAGGCACTCTGAAGATCTAGTGATATAAATGCCGTGTGCCGGTTATTGGCTCTATTATCATTAATGTGGTTTCTGATCTTATCTAGGGCGTGTACTGTAAAGAGGCCAGTTCTGAACCCATATTGGTTATTGCTAAGGAATTTGGTACGGTGAAGGTGGTACTTTAGCCTATTCACCAGAAGCAGAAGCTACCTGGACAGTAGAACCTTTCAGATCAAAATTAAAGATACTTTATCCAACAAGGAAATTATTAAGGCCGGTGTTCCGCAAGGAAGTTTACTTTCGCCAATATTATTTTGTCTTTAGATCAACGATATGCCAAATATCCCAGATGATACTTTTGCCTGCTATGCGGATGACACCGCGATCATGTGCAGTTCTATCAGCCCCATCAGAGCAAGAGATAAGCTTCAAAAAGCCGTTAATATCCTCACCAAGTGGTTTTTCACATGGAAGATCAAAACCAATGCAACTAAGTCCCAAGTGATATTTTTTAAATACAACCTCAAAGAAGTGAACAACATAACACTAGATGGCGCCACAGTACCCACAGTTAAAAGTATTAAGTACTTGGGTGTGATTCTTGACGATAAACTTACATTCAGGCCGCATATTATGTATATTCGTGAAAAAGCTCATAAAGCTTTTAATTCTATTTATGCCTTAATAGTGAGACATTCAAAATTACACGTAAGTACTAAGAGAATTCTCTATCTTCAAGCTATAAGACCGATTTTACTGTATGCAGCACCAGCATGGGCCGCTACAGCCAGATCAAATCGGCAGATTTTGCAAAGTTTGCAAAATAATTTCTTAGAACTATTACAGACTCACCGTGGTTTGTAAGAAACACTGCAATACATCGTGGAATGAAAATCCAACCATTTGATAGCGAGATCTTCATTGCTTCCCATAATTTCTACACCAAATGCGATAATCATGAAAATGAAGCTGTGTGTAGCATAGGAAATTATGACTTTACAGTCATTCAAAAGACCAAGAACGAAACACCATAACGAGTTGTGGTGATCGATGCACATAGTGTATATAGTGTTTTTTCTACTTTTCATTATTTACTCTTTATTGCCTTTACTTAATTATGCTGGCAAAGCGATAGGGACTTTGCGCCCCTGGGGCAGCACTTTGATGTGTATTATGTGTTGAAAATTTAAACGACTGGTCAGTGCAACTATGCTCCGCCCACTTCTGTTATATGCCTCAACTACTACGTTCACGATATTTTGTTGGCTTCAAGACACGGAGGAAGGAGGACGCTACAGTCGTAGCACCCACGAGGAGAAAGTTATGCCAAAGTTTTTATGCTACAGATGTGCAAATTTGCGTTACGATGTGAATGTTATGCTTCAGCTATGTTAAATCGCTATTTTACCCAAGTTATGCCGCTGTTACATTATGCCACATTGGATGTGATTCAGCACTTCAAGTGCACAGGTTTGTTCTAAGATTTGGATTTATTTTTTCCATTTTTAGGATACCCATTTAGAAGAGATATGGATAGGCAAAGACTTTAAGGTCGTATACCTATTAAATAAGCGATGACCTACGACCTATGAGGAGTAAACTGAGCAGTAAAAGTTCAGAAACACTGAACTATAGTTTCTAATGCTTATAGAGAGAAATATATCTGTCTTTTCCCTTTTTTATTTAGTAGTTCATTTCAATGACGAACACAGTTTAAAATCTATATAAAACTGCTGGCCAGTGGCCAAGTGTAAAGTCGCTGAACCCTGGTAGTTCGACCTGGGTTTGATTTCAGGTGAACGAGCTGGCTGCACGAATATTTTCACGGTTTTCCTCATGTGTAAAGTGGATACGAGCCAGTTTCCCTTAAAACGTCTTCCACTAAGTCATCTTCAAGAGCTTAAGAGAGAGATTTGTCATCATCTGCCTAACAGAGGCAGATAGCCCTAGTGTGCTTTGCCGTAACCAAATAAACCAAGCCAAAATAGAGCTGCTTTAATTAAATGTTGGTTGTTGGTTTTCTTATTTATTCAAGTAAAGTTCATGCACTTCCCGGATTAGCACAGATTTTTTACTCCTGTCGCTAAATGCGATTAAAAAGCAACTAAGATTTAATTGACACTAACAATTATATTTGGATTATACACATGCTTAACCCGAGCGTTTTAAGTTTGACCGATCTTCAAATTCCTGAGGAGTTTTCTGAAAATATGTCATTGTTCGATAACAACTCTTTGTTTAATTGTAATTAGCCATTTCATACCATGCTATCGTACTTTTCTTTTTTGAATTTAAAAGATAGCTTTTCAAATTCTGATATATATTTTTTCAAAAATCATACTTACTCACTTTTACCTATTAAGTATCACTTTTCTTTCAAAGATAAAAATAAAAAAGTACTGAAAAAAAGAATATATTGAATTCATTTTATCTGCTCATTGTTTTAAATGCATTCGGTTGAAAAGAAACTGCAATAGGAAAGAGAATTGTTTTAAGCATTTACAAATGGGAATTTAGAAAGTTATGTTTTATTACTTTATTGAGGTAACTTTAAGTTTCTAACAGTTATTTTAAGTTTAAACATTATTTACCGTCTATTCTCGTTTCCCATCTACTATTCTCTACCAGAATGAGTTTTTAGTATCGCGTTTTATGCAAATGAGTTAGAAGGAGTATTTAAAGAAATAACCCAGCAAATTTCGCAGAAATCCTGAAGTACGACATTCTCGAGGATGATAGATTTTTTAGGTCCTACGCTGCTCATTTGCTGCGTACTACACTGTACAATCAGGCTGATCAATGAAAAAGCAGAATTCCCTAGTGCTTTACTATTCAGCTTGATATTGTATCTTTGCATATGCATGAATTCTGAGAGACTACCAGCATCGACACCGACCAGTCTCCAAACCTCCTAGGTCTTCAATTTACTCGTAGAAGCAAAGCGCTTCAATATATTATCTCCCCGCGAAGTACTTTTCTCTTATGGAGAATATTCTTTACGGTCGCATCACAGATCAGGCCCTAATGGGACTCTTTCAATAACCGGCAAGAGTAGGAACACTATCACCTGGTGCAGGTCAGTTTACCGACAAAATGTTCCGGCCACTTTGAAAGAGCAGGTTCTGCCTTCCGGCCACGTCTTTACAGCAAGCCTATCTTACTACGAACGGCCGAAGTCATACGGGCCTGTTAGTATTCGCCGGTGAGGTTTAATTACGGGCCAATTCGGTTAGTTATCTTTGTACAGCTTCGGATAGAGTTTAGCTAGTTAGAATTAGTTTAGTTTCTTATTTTTTCATCTAACATTAAAGCCCAGGTAGGGGCTTTCCTGATGCACGAGAAGGGGCTGACTGTAAGTGTTTCTTTGAGTGAATAAAAGGGTTTTAATCCTTCTTTGGATTTCTACTTTTATAGTTTTAAAAGATCAGCGAATAGTCGCTAGACACTCCCCTAGAAGTGTTCTAGTAGCCAAGGACACGTAAATTAACTAGAACATTATAAATTACAACAAGAATGATTTTTAACATAAAAACGTAATTTGAACAATAAGCACACTTAATACAAAAACATAATTTAAATATAATATATTTTATATTATATATAAACATAATTTACATATAATATAAAAAAACAATTTTTTGAATCAGGCATTTTCAGTTTTGGGGTAGGGAGGGAGGGTACTAGTTTTTACACACTTGAATTCTGCATATAAACGTTGACTCTAATAATAAATCTATAATTACACTTTCAGAAAGTTTGCTGTTGGAAAAACTTTGCTTGTAGATCCAGTTTTTCCCAAATGTAATCTCATTGAATAACAAACAATCAATCGACAATTTTCTTTTAATAGCTGCATCCCCATTACCAAAACTGACCTATTTGTTTCTGAATTAATTTGGTTCTGAAAAAACAGCCGTACATAATTTTGAAAACTCTCAGTGTCCAAATCAAACAGTTCATTGCAGTTTTCTTCCCAGAGAAAACAGCGATTGCACTTCTATATAAAGCAAATCTCAAATTCGTGACATTTGTTTTGCTTTACTGAGTTAAAGAATTCTTTTCTTTGAAAAATTCGTGGAGTTTTTGAAGTATGAGTTTAGGGACTAAGACAGTTCGTTTATACACCTAATATACCTAATTAATAATTTTGCATTCGTAACTTGTTAAAACGTAAGGGGTATTTCCCTAATTGAATCTGTTTCTTTACAAGATGTTGTATAAAAAGTCAGATTTTACATTTCGGTCACTTTTGCCTACAATGTTGAATTAGTTTCCATAACGTTTTCTACCTTAATTCCAGAAAAATTGTAACTTGAATTAAATGTCTGTTACCAGTATTTAAGGAAATAAAGCCCGTAGTTACCTTTTAGAGC